AATCTCTTTTTTTGTTTCTCTAAAAAATAAAAAATTAAATGATGAACTTATTTGAGATTCTACTACTCTCTCTCTTACCTAATTTGAAAACAACCTCTCAAGAACAGAATGATTATGTAGTTTTATCTGTTTGGTATATTTCTATTTGGTATTTTTCCACTTTTTTTTTTTCTCATATTCAATTTTTTTTTGTTCGGCCCAGGTGTGATATATCTTAAGACACGAGTTATATTCTAATTCTAACGATAGCCAAATTTTTGTTTGGCCCAAGAGTGATATATCTTCAAGTTTGTTGGTGGAATTAAGGTCTTGATCATCATTTATGTTGTTGGAATTTATTTTGCAATTTATGTGTTAAGCTTTATTAATCTGGGTTTGAGTTGTTTGAAGTGTGATAAAATTACCGGTTTTGTTTGTGCATATCAGCTCCAATTTTGTCATTTCTATTGCATGTGTTTGTGTTAATAAAAATTAATTCAAAAACTTGGCAGAAAGTTTGTAATCTCTAGGTTTGTGTTTATTTATGTGCGTGAGAATATGTATTTTATCTTTCAAGTTCTATTTTTCCCTTTTTTGATAAATTTCTTGGCCCACAACAATGATGGAAACAGCGTAGAGAATACCCTAAAAGTTCCATGGTCATCTTCTCTATTTATTCATTAGATCCAAAGCTCACAGACCTGTGGGACTAAAGGAGGGGTGGATTCTGCGAAGGTACTCAGCTTTTTAAATTTTTTTATTTTATTTTTTATTTTTACATAGCCGTATTGTTTGTTTTTTTTTTTTTTGGACAGAGGATATTCACTCTCTTCAGCTACATTGCTGGATGGATGTTTTTGTGGTCCTTGCTTTATTGTTCCAGTCCCTTTATCCAATTTCATGGTGTGTTCATCTGAGCAAACCAAATGGATAGTTAAGAGTTATTTGTTTTTTTAAAAAAAAATTTCATCTGAGCAAACCAAATGCTTGGGTTCTATTGGGAATTAAATTGTTCAATCTATTTTTAGTTTACAAATTTTTTTATTATTTAAATTTAATATTATCATCTATGACTTAAGGAAACAGACAGTCTTCGTTTGAGAAGAGAGAGGAGCGGGGGGGATATCAGTCGGTGAGAGAGAGAGACAGTTGAGAAGATTAATGTTTTACAGTCTTTGGGGGAGAGAGACTAAGGTAATAGAGAAGAGGAGATAGAGTGGGTGAGAAAATTGAGAGATTGCAATTTGGGGGAAGTGCAATTTATCTTGGCAAGATTTTTCTTAACTTTCACTCACCTGTGATTGGTCAAGAAATGAAAGAAAAAAAAAATAAAAATATATGATTGGTTTACATCATTTTGGGAGTCATAGAGGTTCTTAATTTTGGGGGTTCCTGAAATTTATTTGGGGGACTAATAAATTGGTGTTTCATTCAAGTTTCATGTCTTCATTTAGGAAATTTTCTCCTTCCTGTGAATTCATTACCTACTCTTTGAAAAGAAAAGAAAAAAAACAAAAAGCAAAAAAATTTGAATACATTCCTCTCTAATTTTGATTTATATTTTAATCTCATCATTAATTGTATCGTGCCTTCAGGTGCGAGCATACGCTAGTCTATATAATAAGGGAGGACTGTTTTTGAAAATGTCCCAAATGTATCAGAGATACATTTGGTTTTAACGGCCAAGATGAATGATGAATCAGAGATACATTTCCCACCCGTTTTGAGTTCATCTCTCCCTCTGTCCCACGTTCTCTTCAGCTCCCTCTCTCCCACATTCTCCCTCTCTCCCACGTTCTCTGTCACAGTGTCTCTAATCACCACAGCCATTGAAGACCCTTCGAACCCTTCGATACCCACCCTCCCTCTTCGCTACGCTACTCCTCCTTCCCTTACAACCCTTCTCTTCGACCTGACCGAGGCTGTCACCGACCGAGCCTCCCTCCATCCGACAATCGAGTCGAGTCTCTCTCTCCGACGATCGAGTCTCTCGCCTGACTCGCTTCTCGCCGCTCAGTCCCGCCAGACTCTCTTCTGTTTTCTCTCGACTCTCTCTCTCCGACCAACCCGATTCTGTCTCCAACTCGACCCAGCGACTCCAACCTACAGGTATATAACTACAAATTGAAATCTGTTGTTGTTGTAGAATTTAGGTTTTTTTTGGATTTTTTTAAGGGGGCAAAAAAAAGAAAAGTTAAATCTGTTGTTGTAGAATTTGGGATTTTTTTTTAGAGTTTTTTGTAAGGGGAAAAAAAAAAGTGAAATTGAAATTGAAATGTGTTGTTGTAGAGTTTAAAATTTGTTCTACGCTCTGGTCGCTAACAGAGACACAACTCTCCCAAATTCTACAAATTGAAGGTGAGCAAATTTAATTTGTAGTGGCTATGCATTTTATTCTCCCACAGGGTTATTGGAAATGAGATTCTCCACTGCTATTTATGTTTGAACATCTAATTGATGACGTTCACTTCATTGCATAAAGCTGCATGCTCCTTCTTTAAATTCTGAAACAAAAAATAAAAATTAGAGACAACTACAAGAAATTTATAACCAAATATGTCATTGAAATCAATGTTTAAGAGTATAAATTTCAAGATTTACCTGAACTTGGTATTTGCAGACTCATGTTTCTTCTACCTTTAAAGCTTCCCTTAGATTTTCAGCTTTAGCAAATGCAATTACGCTCAAGAATCTCATAAGGAAGGGAATTCCGGCGGTTTTACGGCCTAAGGTCTGGTTTTCGCTCTCCGGGGCGGCTAAGAAGAAATCTACGGTGCCTGAGAGCTATTACAATGATTTAATTAAGGCTGTCGAGAGTAAGATCACGCCCGCTACAAGGTAGATTGATCAGGTGACTTTTTTCTTTCAGCATTACATTGATTATTGTGGCACATTTATCATCATGTGAAAATTGGATGGTTGATCAGTTGTTTCAGATACAATGTTTATGATATAATGATCATTGTAAATTTGTAATGTTTGATGTTTGTGGGACTCCACTTCATTACAAAAGATGGATTGTTTTGCAGTTGCATAACGGATTCTTATCTTAATAATGCTATTTGTTTGATCCTGAACATGAAGTCTCCAGGTCCAATTGAGCTTATTTAGTTTGCATTACATTACTTAATGACATAATTTTTTATCATACATGATGCTTGCTTGAGGACAATGTTTACTGAGGGAAGAATTTTCTGTCATTGTCAATATCCAGAATGGAATAAAAATACTGGAAATGGCTTTGGAAACCTCTTTCTGCATTAAGTCAAGTGGCTGATTTTATTATAGGCCAATTGGGAAATCTCTTGATTTAGTTTAATATTATTCGAAGGAATACAAATGTCAATATTTTCTAAGTTAAAGAGTTAATAGATATAGATGGATTTAATAATTATGGAGATGAATATGAGATCATAGCCTATTTTAGGTACACTTCTACCTTTTTTTGGCAACATTTGATGTGATATGTAAGGACTGTGGAGACTTATAGCTGCTTTTTCTCTGAGAAATTTCTTTTTGTAATTTTTCATTTGTTTATGTCTTAGTAATGCATTTATGTCCTCAAGTTGAAGCATATGGGTTGTGATCAAGCAGTAAGACTAGAGCATAAACAATATCTGTTTGTGTATGTATATGTTTGTAATTGGCTTTATTTAGAATATGTTTGTTCAAATTTCTGCAAAATTGGAAGAGTCTGCACTTCATCATAACACATTTCTTGGGTTCCATGTCCATCCGAAACATCGCTATCGTCCATCAAAGCTGTATTTTCCCCAATAAATTCTATTTTTATTTATTTATTTATATATTTGTGTTTTCAATTCATGGCTATATTCAGAAAAACTTTATGGATTACCTACTAGATCTGTTTGAATGATTTTGATCGATTTTGGTGTTTAGCTGACTATCTTTGATTGAGTCTCAAAATTTTTTTTTTTTTGATTGACTATTTTCCGTCTGTTGCAATTCGAGTTTGAACTATGTATAATATTTTGTTTTGCCTCTGATTTGGAGATATTATCTGCTTAATTTTATGGTTTCTTTGTGTATGTGGACTATGTATGTATGTATTTAGTTCATTTGTGAGGATGTGGAGGATTGCAAGGCAAAAACTTGAAGCTGGAGAATTTCCTGTTCTGGTAGGTCTTTCAATCGTATGTTTTGATTTTGAAAAAGGAAGATTTTTTTGCATCTAATAGATAGTATTTAATTTCAAATTTTAGAACAAATTTTTATTTATTTATTTATTTTTGTTCTAATTCTCAACCTTAGAACTTTCTTTGTTTTTTTAATTCTGTTGTATGTGTATTTTTTATTTTTATTTATTTATTTATTTTTGTTCTAATTCTCAACCTTAGAACTTTCTTTGTTTTTTTAATTCTGTTGTATGTGTATTTTTTATTTTTATTTATTTATTTATTTTTGTTCTAATTCTCAACCTTAGAACTTTCTTTGTTTTTTTAATTCTGTTGTATGTGTATTTTTTATTTTTATTTATTTATTTATTTTTGTTCTAATTCTCAACCTTAGAACTTTCTTTGTTTTTTTAATTCTGTTGTATGTGTATTTTTTATTTTTATTTATTTATTTATTTTTGTTCTAATTCTCAACCTTAGAACTTTCTTTGTTTTTTTAATTCTGTTGTATGTGTATTTTTTATTTTTATTTATTTATTTATTTTTGTTCTAATTCTCAACCTTAGAACTTTCTTTGTTTTTTTAATTCTGTTGTATGTGTATTTTTTATTTTTATTTATTTATTTATTTTTGTTCTAATTCTCAACCTTAGAACTTTCTTTTGTTCTAATTTATTTATTTAATTCCGATCGTACGAACTTTACTCTCTCGAATTAGATGTACTTACATTTGTTATATATTATTGCGAGAGCTTTACTTTATGGATTACCTACTGGATCTGTTTGAATGATTTTGATCGATTTTGGTGTTTAACTGACTATCTTTGATTGAGTCCCGTATGAATAGGATTGCTTTAACGGTGGTCTATGATAAAAAATTTAAAACAAAATTTTTTTTTTTTGATTGACTATTTTCCGTCTGTTGCAATTCGGGTTTGAACTATGTATAAAACCATGCAACTCAAAGGTAATACTCTCTCTCTCTCTCTCTCTCTCTCTCTCTCTCTCTCTCATAGTGGTAGCAGCAGTAGTAGTAACAATATTCTCTCAAATTCTATCTTTAGATGGGCATATCCTTGCGCACATCCTGGCTGCAACCTCCATTGGAGTCATCTCTGCCACTGCGTTTCACTACTACCATCGACAAAAGCCCCAAAAACAGTTGGAAGATCAAACCGTAGTTCCATTGTTAGACAGGAATGAGTCTGGCCGTGTTGCCAAACTTGAAAGATTCTCCAATTATGTCGGTAAAAATCTATTCATCTCCATTCTTCTTTTCTTTTTTTTTTTTTTTCATAATGTTTTTCTACTTTACAACAACTAAAATGTTTTATTGTTTTTGTTTTTTGGATTTTGGGGATGGATCAGCTAGGCAGATAGGATTTGAAGATGGAAGTGAATGTCCCCAACTTTGCAAATTAGCATATGAGTACCTCAAAAAATCCAAAGAGTGTGAGAGTACTATCTATGAGTATTTTGCTGATGAGCTGTATGTGAAGTTGGTTGAGGAGTTTGATAGGTGCATCCTTGCCTACTTTGCATTTCATTGGAGCCAAGCTTCTCTCATGATCAGTCAGGTATATGCATATATATGTGTTTATAAATGTTTCAACAAAAATGTTTGGTAATCGAAAATTTTACTTCAAAAATTAGTCAGAAAAAAATATTGAATCGAAAACTTTACTTCAAAAATTAGTCAGAAAAAATATTGGAGTAGTTGAGATTCATTTTAAATTAGGTCCCACTATATGTGTGTATGTTTTTATAAATGTTTCAACAACAATATTAGGTAATTGGAAAATTTAATTAGAAAATTACAATTTTTTTTTTTTTAATGATGGAGATTCATTTCAGGTTGGGCTTTTGATGTTTCAATTGCTTATTTTTGTGTTTTTGCAAATGTTTCAATTCAACAGCAATGTTAAGGAATCAGAAAATTTAATTACAAAATTACTCAAAAAAAATATTGAATGATTGAATTTCATTTCAGATTGGGCTTTCAGATGTTTCAATTGCTGAATTTTCATTTCTCCTTGAAAATGTTTCATTCATTCTCTTATTCTTTTATTTTATTTTGGGAATGTGTGAATCGCAGGTATTGAGTATTGATTCTGATAAGAAAAAGTTGTGTTTTTGCAAATGTATTTATGTTTGGGTACTTTTACAAAATTCATTTCAAAGTCAATAAATTTGATAAATTACATTTTAAATCAATACTTTTAAATTTAATTATATTTTAATCTTATAATTAATTTAGACACGGATATACATTTTTAAACCTCCAAATCAACCCTGGGGACTTGCTTGGTTAGAATCTATTAGCAGATAAATCAGTAATTTGAAGGTGTTAAAATCTGAAGGTGTTAGAATCTATTATCAGATAAATCAGTAGTTTGAATGTGTTAGAATCTATTGACAGAAGTTGAACTTTTTGAGCACTTTCAAGTTGTTGTAAGCTTTAAAGACTCTGGAAATTGGGTCATCAAAACAAAGACCATGCGGGCGGAATGTGATTGGTTGGACGGAAAAAGCAAGCAGAAAAAGCGATAGAGAGTGAAGTCTAAAATAATAAATAAATAAATAAAAGAAAAATAAAAAGAAAGAGCTTTGGGTGACCCACCGTCAACCAGGAAGAGGTCAGAAAATTCCATGACTTTTGAGAAATCAAAATATTGTATTTATTATTATTTTTATTTTTAAAATCTTAATTTATTTTGCTTTTATTGTTTGTTGGACAAACTACTAAATTGAAATTCTTAAACAATATAATAATTATTTATTTGGTAGTATTATATATATCAAACGAATAATTATTTGTTTGTCGGCAGTGGGAGTATTTCGGTGCTTCTCTGTGAGATGAATCACCGGAGTTTTGGATTATTTCGTTGTTATTTTATTTGAGTTTTATAAAACTTAAGATACAAGTAAAATTGTTACAATTTTTAAAAAGAATAGTATTTTTTTATATTTTTTCAATATTTTTGTCAAAAAAATTACAGACTTCATAATAAATTTTAATATGATACAAATGAATTATAACTGTATGTTGATCACAAAATTATTTATACCGTGCCTTCAGGCACGGGTATACGCTAGTATATATATATATATATATCTACACGCGAATAGATACAGAGTGAGAAAATATAGTGGGCAGCGCAAGTTTGGTTGGATTGGATGAACTCGACTTTGCGCGCACACTCTCTCTCTCTCTCTCCAATGAAAGATTTAACTTTAGATTTGACTTTTATGTTTTATTTTTTATGCATTAGATATTAATTAATCAAAAAAGAAAAAAGGAAAAAAAAAAGGAAAAGAAAAAGGAGATAGTTGATACCTTGATCTACAATACCTAAAAAGGTTACTATTTAATTTAACTTTTTTCTTTCATTTAATAATGTTTACTTTGAAGAGTTGTAAATTTTTTTTCTTACATTTAATAGTATTGTTATTTTGATACACTGCATCTGCACTATTTATTTAGGATATTTTAGTTTGTTTTTTTAGTTTTTTTACAAAAAAATATGGAGAAAAGAAAAGAAAATATTTTTATAATATTTTTTGATTTTTTTAAAAATTATTTTAGCATGATGTCAAATGGGCTGTTTTAAGAAGCACAAATATAAAAATGTGACACGATATAAATATGATAAGATGAATTTTTAACAAAAACGTAAGACGTGACATATAGAGAATAAAATGTAAAATATACAATTTTTTGTATTCATTATGTGTTGTATATGTAAATCTTTAAGTCAATGAAAATAATTTTTAAAATTAAAAAAGGAGAATATGTATAAGTTTATATTTTTTTTGTATTGTTATTGAATTTTAAGTCATTTTATTTAAATTTATACTCCATTCGTCTCAAAATAATAGTCTATTTTGAGAAATTTAATTTAATTTTTGATAATACAATTATTATATTTTAAAAATATTAATTTTTTTAAATTACCCTTTAATAGTATATTTTTTTGGAGAATATCAATTGTCATGATTGTACTTTTTGTGTTATTAATAAATTTTTTAAAAAATGGCAAAATAGTAAATTCATATATTTATACTCCATTCGTCTCAAAATAATAGTCTATTTTGAGAAATTTAATTTAATTTTTGATAATACAATTATTATATTTTAAAAATATTAATTTTTTAAAATTACCCTTTAATAGTATTTTTTTTTGGAGAATATCAATTGTCATGATTGTACTTTTTGTGTTATTAATAAATTTTTAAAAAATGGCAAAATAGTAAATTCATATTATTTTATTCCTTGATTATGAAAAGGACTAATATTTTGTGATAATGAAAATAAAATAACAAACTAATATTTTAAGATGGAAATGAGTAATATATTTTATACGTATCTAAGTATTACAAAATATTTGACGGGTGTCATTTTATTTTTTTAAAAATGTTTGTACTTACGTAATAGTGTACGATAACAAGGCCGGTGGAGGAGTTATAATAGTGCCAATGGCATTGATAGCAAAGTGACCGTGGTGGTAGCTACTAGCTAGAGCAGGGATACATGCAGGGATGGAACTAGGAGAAGACTATGGGGGGCCATGGCCCTCCTATTTCTATAAAAAATATTATTTGTCATAACACTTTAAAAATATATATATCATTTCATACATAAAATGACCCCCTAGTAGTATAAGAAAATGCATATCTTATTATTCTCCCATTTTACCTTCTTTTTCTATTTTGCACCAAAAAAAATTTCTTTATCCTATTAGAAATTGTTTCTATAGTATTTAATTTTTTTTTCTATGTATATATAATTTATATATCATATTGTGCATACATGTGTGTTTGTGTATTTGGTGATTTTTTTTTCCGGCCCCTCCGATAATAAAATGCTGGTGGTGGTGGCTGCCGAGTAACTATTGTGAACTCACCAAGTATCCTGTGTGACATTAGTTATGATCAGTCAATGATATAGCTGAAAAACTACTGATGCATGATGACTCACATATAAAAGCAACCATACTTGGCCCTACTTTGCCTTGTTATAGGTCCAGCTTGCCTAAACTTTTGAGTAGGTTTGGTTTGGTATTAATCCGAACCGATTCATACGTTCAATTTTTGCTTACCCTTAAGCTTAAATTTTGGTTTGATTTGGTTTAGTTTGGTATTAACTTGAGTCAACGATGACATTCGTGAGGTGATATTCATCATTCAACATTTAAAAAAAAAATTTCAAAATTTAACAAATTGCTCTCCATGGTTATGCAAATCGTTGTAGATTGTTGGTTTAGTTCAATAGTGAAATGAGTCGGAAGTCATCAATGAAAATTAAATTGGAAGGTGATTGATTCAAACTATATATGATCCAAACTTGGTAAAACTACAAAGAGAGTTGTTGTACAGCGATTGAACTTACACAATAAAAAGCAAGCGAACAAATAATAATGGAAGTATTGTTACAAGGCACAAGTCGAATCAAATCTTCTGTCCCACTTATTTTTGTCCCTCTGTCCCAAACTTTTCTCTACTACAGAATCAAGTCAGAGAAATCAATATTATAGTAAAAAAGATATTTGAGACGAGTAAGCAAGATAAAAGATTCTCAGCCGATATAAGCCTACTCCTCCACTTGTTCATTCTAGTAATAGTGAGCAACCAAACTCTCATTCACTTATTAACATGGCCCAAACTCATGTGCCTTCCATTTCACAACCATGTGTTTGCCCCTCTTGAAGATAAAAATTGGAAAAGAGATGATCTTCTACTTTGTGGCTGCAAACACTGTTGGCCCTTCCACCTGAAATATTGTCACCCACCAAATTTATGTATTAGAATTGTACGGGAAAGAAATAAACCTTCTCGTATAATCCTGTTGATCAAGTCTGCGTTCCTCCATACGACGTCGCTTTACCACCTGAAAACACAAACGTGAGCTAGCCGGCAGGTGTGTGCCGGAAACCTCTCCGATGCCTAAGTCAGAAAGCTTGACAAATAGACAAAAGCTTTGTGTATTTAGAAAACAAAGTTGTGTTACCTCTCCATAGGTGATGTTTGTGAGCTTTTATAAGTTTTGTGTGGCACAATCCTAGTAGGACTTCTATTCCTCCATGTAGAGTCCTGCTAGGATTCATACTCCTGAAGGACAATGCTTATCCTTCAACACCCCCCTCACTGCTTAAACCAAGTGAGATGGTTTTATCTTGGCCGAACTACCATACGACCGAAATAACACTACCATACTATACAGGCAGGTATGGCCGATCTGACTACTAGTTCGACTCTTCCCTTCTTTGCTTCTATCCCGGCTGCGAATGCTAAGACCGAGCTATCCATAGAAGTGTCAAGCGAACTAACTCAAACATCCCTGAAGAAGGTTCTCTCACTCCGGTTAGAGGAGATGACCGGGCTAATCCGTAATATGCAGCAACCGAGCTACCCCCAAGCCTATCTAACAATCGAACTAACCGTAGTACTCCTTTTGACCGGTGTATCCACTGTTTTTCGTATTTGGACCTATCTCGGCCCAACACCCAGCTCGGCCCAATTTATATGCATAAATTACCCTCTCAATTGCCCCTTAATTCCATCTGCATAGCATGATAGGGATTATCTGTTCATCAGCCGAGCTATAGTCCCCAAACCTTCCAGCCGAGCTACAACCATTTAGCTTATCCTGCCGAGCTAAACTTAAACCGAGCCGCTCTCATCCGGTCACAATGTCTTTTCAATCACCAAAAACTGAATCGCTTCCTATTCCGTATACACGTGGCACGTTCCCATTCGCGGAAGGCAGCTGTCAACGCCGTCTTCGTATTTCGCAATTTTTGAACAGATCCCGCCCTTTCTC